AGATCAAGAATCACGTGCGCTACCATCTGAGCCAGCCAGACCCCTCTTTTTACTTTTTTAAGTGTGAATACTACAACCTTTAAGAGTACATATATAGCTCACATTATATTTGTATTGAACACTAAGCTGGCCTAGGGATATTCATAATATATTATGGGAAAAAGTTAAGCCACAAAGATATGTATATCTTTGAGATTATATATGCATATATATTCACACACTTAATATGATACACATATTATGAATCCATGAATATAGACGCATATTATGAACTCATTCAAAAAATTGGTGGCTCAGTTGGTTAAGCATCCGACTTCGGCTTAGGTCATGATCTCATGGTTTGTGAGTTTGAGCCCTTTTTTGGGCTGTGTGCTGAGAGCTCAGAGCCTGAAGCCTGCTTAGACTGCTTTGGGTTCTGTGCCTTCCTCTCTCTCTCTGCCCCTCCCCTGCTCACACTCTGTCTCTCTTTCTCTCTCTCAAAAATGAACATCAAAAAATATTTTTAAAAAATAGGGGCACCTGGGTGGCTCAGTAAGTTAAGCATCCGACTTTGGCTCAGGTCATGAACTCAAAGCTCATGAGTTCAAGCCCTGTACCAGGCTCCAAGTTGACAGTACAGAGCCTGCTTGGAATTCTCTCTCTCTCTCTCTCTCTCTCTCTCTCTCTGCCCCTCCCCTGCTTTCATGCTCTCTCTCTCAAAATGAATAAAACTTAAAAAAATAAATAAAATAGAAAAAAATCCCTATATGTTACATATGAGTGTAGGTGTGGGATGTGTGTGTGTGTGTGTGTTTGTATAGGTATAAAGAAAAGTGGAAGGATAATACCAAATTAATAGCACTGGTGGGGTATGAGTAGGGAATATATATACATTAAGGAGCAGGGAAAATTATTATTTTTATTTGGCTTGTTGTAAGGAATTTGTATTGCTTTTGTAGTTGAAAGAAATAAAAGTAAAGTATCTGTAAATGAATGTTTTTATTTTTTGAAAAAGCACAAGTGGGGGAGGGGCAGAGAGAGAAGGAGAGATGGAGAAAGAGAGAGAGAGAGAGAGAGAGAGAGTATCCCAAGCAGGCTCCACACTTTTTTTCCCCTAAATGAATATTTTTTTATTTACATTTTTAAACTAAAATTTATTTATTTATTTTGAGATTGAGAAGAGTGCAAGTGGGGAGGGGCGGAGGGAGGGAGAGAGAGAATCCCAAAGCGGCTTGAACCCATGAAACCGTGAGATCATGATCTGAGCCGAAACCAAGAGTCAGATGCTCAACTGACCGAGACACCCAGGAGTCCCTAAATGAACATTTCTAAGCCAGGCACTGTAGTAGGCTATGGGCATAGCAAAAGGAAGAAGGGGACCCCTGGCTCTCTCAGTCTGTGGAGCATGCAACTCTTGATCTCAGGGTTAGGTGTTCAAGCCCCATATTGGGCATGAAGCCTACTTAAAAAAATAAAATAAAATAATAAAATAAAATAAAATAAAGATGAAGAAGACAAAGACTTTGTTCTAAAAGGAACTCATAGTCCAGGGTAAGAGACAGAAGAATCAAATAACAATGATGTTAAACTGTGTTAAGGGCCTATTGAGGGATGAATGGGCAGTCTCCAAAGCACAGGGGAGGGGTGTCTATTTTATTCTCCCCTGGTTTGGGGGAGTGTGCAGAGAATGTTTCCTGGAGGAGCTAATTGAATGAGAGCTGAATTTTGTCTGATGCTTAGTTTTCCAGATGGAGATGGGTTTAAAGGGTATTTCAGACAGAAGGAACTAAATTTAGGAAGACAGGATGCAAGACACAGCAAGAGGCCTTTGGAAACTGCCAGATTATGTGAGGGAGCGGGAATAAGTGGAGCTGAACAGGTAGGCATAGTTTATATTTAGTGGGGTCTGATGGGCTGATGGAATGTTTTCATTCCTAGTGCCAAAGGCTTTGAACTCCCTCATAGGACAGGAGAATGACATGATTAGATTTGTATTCTTGAAAGGTCATTCCAGCTGCAGAGGGTACAGAATGTAGGGAAGACTGGGGAAGCAATGGTTTCTGCGTTCAAAGAGCTTACGGTTTACTTTGGAAAAGAGACAAATGATAACCAGCACTTATCAATACTCATTTGACTGGCACTAAGTACTTTATAGAAAGCAAATCTTTAATGTTTTACCACCTACCCTATGCGGAAGTCTGTTCCCTCCATTTTACAGAGAAGGAAATGGAGACACAGAGAAGTCAGGTGACTTACCTATGGACACCCAGGCAGGAAGGCTGAGCTTTGGAATCAAGAATTTAACCCCCGTATGATACTGTGTCTTAGATTTGTAGTGGATTGTGTTCAGTTCTAAGCTAGGAGAGGTGTCTTGGGGCCCATCTGACCTGGACTGAGAGAATCAGGTAAGTCTTCCTGTCCCAGAGGAGATGATTTCTAGCCTGAGATCTGAGAAGCAGACTAGAGTTTGTGAGGAATGAGGTCAGAAAGAACCCTCGAGCTGGGGCACCTGGGTGCTTAGTCGGTTAAGCGTCCGACTTTCGCTTAGGTCATGATCTCGCGGTTCGTGGGTTCGAGCCCCGTGTTGGGCTCTGTGCTGACTGCCAGCTCAGAGCCTGGAGCCTGTTTCAGAGTCTGTGACTCCCTTTCTCTCTGACCCTCCCCTGCTCACGCTGTCTCTCTCTCTCTCTCTCCTAGAAATAAATAAAACATTAAAAAAAAAAAGAAAGAAAGAAAGAAAGAAAGAAAGAAAGAAAGAACCCTCGAGGAAGAGGGAGCAGATTGTTTAAAGGTCCTGGGCTGGGAGAGAGCACGCACAGTATATTGAGGAGAGCCAAAAGTCACTCAGCGAGGCTGGGTCATAGAGTGGTGGGAAGAAGATCTGGTGAAAAAAGCAGGGACCAGACTAAGTAGGCTTTAAAAAATTTTTGTGACTTCATCCTAAAAGCAATGAATAGCCATTGGAGTATTTAATTAGGGAGTGACTAGTTTTGCATTTTAGGTTATTCTGGCTATTATCTGAAGAATGGGTAGGGAAGAGCAAGCTTGCAGGTCTAAGATCAGATAGAGTGTTGTTTGAGTCATCTAGGAGCCCAGGACTTAGAGAGTGTGGAAAGAAATAGGCTGAGAAACTGCTTATTGAAGGCCTATGACCTAAATTAAATTGACGTGTATTAAAGACAACTTTTATAAGGACTTTTTTTTCGTATCACCAAGGCTGAAACAGCACACTATAAGAGAGTTTCTGTATAGGAATGAGGAGGGGAGCATTGGGAGGAAAAAGAATATGAAGATTTTGAAGCTACGTAGATGTGAGTTTGAATTCTGACTTTCTGACCCTGCCACTTACTAGATCTGCAGCTTTTATGAGTCATAAGGGCCGTCATCAGGTAAAAGCTCTACTTTCTCATTCTGGTCTGAGCCACATCATCTCTAGCCTGGAATATTATAGTATACTAGTATTCTGAACTAGTCTGTTTCCAGACTTGCTGATTCCAACAGAGTCCCCCTACTTTATTACTTTTACTTCATTTTTAAAAGTTTATTCATTTTTTTTAATGTTTTATTTATTTCTAGGAGAGAGAGAGACAGCGCGAGCAGGGGAGGGTCAGAGAGAGAGGGAGACACAGAATCTGAAGCAGGGTCCAGGCTCTGAGCTGGCAGTCAGCACAGAGCCCGACGCGGGGCTCGAACCCACGAACCTCGAGATCATGACCTAAGCGAAAGTCGGACGCTTAATCGACTAAGCCACCCAGGCGCCCCTAAAGTTTATTCATTTTTAAGAGACAGAGACAGAGCATGAGTGGGGGAGTGGCAGAGACAGAGGGAGACACGGAATACAAAGCAGGCTCCAGACTCTTAGCTGTCAGCACAGAGCTCACCACAGGGCTCGAACCCACAAACGATGAGATCATGATCTGAGCCAAAGTCAGACGCTTAACCAACTGAGCCACCCAGGCGCCCCTATTACTTTTACAACACGGATTATATTCTTTCTCTGCTGAAAATCTTTCAATGACTCTCCATTTTGCTGTTTATTTAATAATAGCATGTAGGACAATAGATCACCTCTACTTTGTTCTCACCTCATCCCTCACTGCTCCCCCTTCACCCCTCTCACCTCCTACTATGCCCCAGCCAGAGACCTCTTCATAGTTTTTGGAATAAAGGAGGCAGCCTGTTGCCTCAGGGCTTTTGCACTTGCCTCTCCCTATACTTATTCGCCCGAATTATTCCCACTGAGTGCTCCAGAATCAGATCTTTGCTCAAGATGTCATCTTCAGTGAAGACTTACCTAACTATTCTATTTATAATGGTAATGTAAAGGGATATGGAGAAAAGACAAGAAAGGAAGATGGAAGTACGGTATTGTCTTGAGTACTTTGGCAGGGACTTTTGTCTTTCAAGTCACTACTATATCCCCATAGTTTAAATACTGCCCACCACACAGAAAACTTTCAACAAATGTTTAATTAGAATGATAATCCAGCTAACAATTACAAAGCACTTATTAAATAGGCTAGGGCTAGTTCTAAGCATTTTGCATACTTAATCTTCATGATAATCCTAGGAAAAGAATACAATTACAGAACTATCTTCTACTACAGAAATGAAGAAATGGAGAAGGCTGAAGCTCGAGACTCAACAACTGAGGCTCCGCAACTTTTCTAAGGTTATAACAGCTAAAAAGTGAAGCGGCGATTTGTGGAACGAAATGAATGAAATTTGACTTGGCAGTCAGCGCAGGGGTGGAAATTGACACGGTGGGAGCGAATGCAAAAGGGTCTTGGGAGGGAGCCCAGCAGTGAGGACGCCAGCGCGCCTTGCAGCCCAGATCCAAAAGAGGGTGAAGGGTCTGCGGGAAGCGAGTCGCAGCAGCTCCATCGCGCCTATGAACTGCTATTATCAGCCGCTGCTCAGTCCCGTGCGCCCTGGAAGCAGGAAGTGGCGGCGGGCGTCGCGCGGGGTGACGTCACGGCGGCGCCGGCTGCGATAGGCGGGGGAGGAGGAGGAGGAGCGAACCGGGTTTGGGGGGCGGCTGCATAGTCTCCGGGATCCCCAGGCCTGGAGGGGGGTCTGCGCGCGGCCGGCTGGCTCTGCCCCCCGTCCGGTCCCGAGCGGGCCTCCCTCGGGCCAGCCCGATGTGACCGGGCCCAGCGGAGCCTGAGCAAGGAGCGGGTCCGTCGCGGAGCCGGAGGGCGGGAGGAACATGACATCGCGGAGGTGAGGAGCCCCGAGGGCCCGGCCCGGGCCTCGGCCCGGCTCCCGCCGCGTTCGATCAGCCCCGCCCGGGAGGGGGCGCCCCGGCCAGGGTTCGGACTCCGGCCCGGGGTCGCGGGGGCAGGCTCTCTCCCAACTTCTAGTCCTCCTTGGGCCGGGGGCCGGGCGCCACCGTGCCCCCACCTCTCGGGTCCCCATTCATTTCCTGCCTCCCCGAGTTCCGGCTCCCGCAGCCCTGGGGATGCCGGTCAGGACGCGGGCAGGTAGAGCCGCCCGGGGAACCGCGGACGCCAGCGGCCCGGCTGCGCGCCGCATTCCTGACCCATTGCCTCATGAGAATTGCCTCATGGTGATTCCGAAATAACCCCGCTCACTTGGGGAGGCTCCTTGGCCCGGGACGCGGGAGGGGAGAGGAGGGAGTTGCTCGGGGCCGGGCCCCCGACGGTCGAGCTGCTCTGGGTCCCTGCCTTTCGCGCGCGTTTGGGGGCTTCACTCAGGAACTTGACCCCTTTTTGTGGCTCTTTGCACCTCCTCTCTCCCCCACCCCTCACGTGCCAGAAATGGAAAAACTGACTGTATCTGCTGCTATTAGAAGTATTTCCTTCCTCCGCGGTCTTCGCTTTGGGAGATGGGAGGGAAGGGAGCTGTATCTCTAGTTAATCCTTAACCACAACCTTAAAAGTTAGGTAACGTTCATCGCCCCCGTTTTACGGATGTGGAAACTGAGGCTTAGAAGTTACATGCTTATAGTAAATGACAAGATTTGCACCCAAGAGTCAGAAGGAGGATTGGTGAATTAATGAGATCCTTTGAAAGTTCAGAGTAATAATACTGCTAATAGCTAACGTTTATTTAGTTGTTACTGCAAACCAAAAACGTTTTATCTTCACTTTAACCCTATGAGAAGAGGAATTATTTCTCTTATTATTATTATTATTACTATTATCCTGGTTCTAAAGATGAGTAAACTGATTTTCAGAAGTTAGGCAACTTGTCTGAGGTCACTCAGCCGGTAAGCGGTGGAGCCTGAAACTCCGCTATTAATCACCATGTTGCCATTATTATTTCATAACTATTGTTAATCATTTGTGAGCCTAATTTTGTTGTTAAACTGTAGTGTGACTTACTGTTTGCAGATAGTGATCCTGTTATATTCCATTGCCACTCTTTATATACGATTCACACATAAGACCCATTGTTTGGTCTTCTCCATTATTGTCTTGTAATGATCACTGTCTTAGACATTTGCAAACTGTCTCAAGCTGTTGAGGTTATTTGAATGAGAACTTTCAAAATATTAGGAATGTCTTCTCAAAATACACCTGCACACTTTTCTTTCATGGGAGGAAAAGAGGGAGAGAAAAGAAAACCCAAAACTCTTAAGAAGTGAGTGATTTGGACAGGTTTCTTGGCAAGTGCTTACAGATCTGGGTAATATGTAATTGCAATTCAACAGAACAGTGTATAGCCTCAAATGTCCTAATTCTTTAGGGAGCTTTTAAATAAAACAGTTGTCTATTCTTTAATCTGTCAAATAGTCATTGAACCTTTTGTTCCTTGTGTCTGCTCTTCCAGACAAGTAAGGATCTGCTTCTTTAGGAGACAAAAAGACTGGGGGGTTGGGAGTGGGGAAGGGGGAAGGGGCCGGGTGGTAATAGACCCTACATTGTCCAGCTTGTTAGTGTAGAAGCAGGGAAGTCAGGGAATAGCCAAAGCAGCAAGTGGCAGAGATCATTCCTTTTCTCTGGCCCTCTATTATCGAGAAGAAATGTGTGCCACCTAAAAAGTCAGATTTGGAATTATTTATTATTTTTTCAGATTGTAGGTCTCTTTTATTATTTTTAACCACCTTTATTGAGGTACAAATGACACGTGATAAATTGCATATATTTAAATGTACAGTTTGATGGTTTGACATGTGCATACACTGCTGAAACCATCCCCACAGTCAAGGTAATGAACATATCCGTCATGCCTTGTGATGTTTCCTTGTTCCTTTTTAATCCCTTCCTTGTCAGGTGACCACTGTTCTTCTTTCTGTCAGGACACATTAGTTTGTACTTCCTAGAATTTTATAGACATGGAACTTTATGTCTGGTGTCTTATGCTCAGCGTAATTATGTTGAGATTCATGCTGTAGCATGTGTCAAAAGTTCATTTCTCTATATTGGTTGGTAATATTCCATTGTATGGGTGTATTGTTTGTTTATCCATCCACCTGTTGATGGACCATTTGGGTTCTGGAGTTTGGCCCTCACCAAGAAAGCTGCTGGAATGTGAATAGGAGGTATTTAACAAAATACCTCTCGGGGTGGGGAGAATGGCTGGATCATACAGTAGATGTATATTTCACTTTTTCAGAAATTGCCAAACTGTTTTCCAGAGTGGTTATACCATTTACAATCCCACCTGTAGCATATGCGAGTTACAGTTACTCCACATCTCTGTCAACACTTGATAGGGTCAGTTTTTAAATTTTAACCATTTTAGTGGGTGTGTCATGATATCTCTTTGTAGTTCTAATTTGTATTTTCCTTGGTGACTAATAATGTTGATCATCTTGTCATGTGCTTTTTTTTTTTCTTTTGCCATCTGTATATCTTCTTTGGTGACATGTCTAATTGACCAAGTATTTTCCTCCATTTTTATTTAGTTGTTTTTTTAATCGAGATTCAAGAATTCTTTATTCTGGATACAAGTTCGTTATCAGAATGGCAAATATTTTCTCTCAGTCTGCAGCTTGTCTTTTCATTTTTTACTGGTCTCTTTTGAAGAACAGAGGTTGTTTTTTTGTTTTGTTTTGTTTTTTGTTTAAGAACAGAGGTTTTTAATATTGATGAAGTCCAGCTTATCAGTTTTTTTTTAATGGATCATGCTGAGGAAGCTTTGCTTACCCCAAGGCCTCAAAAGTTTTCTCAAAGGTTTTAGGTTTATGATCCACTTTGAGTTAATTTTTGTATATTGTGAGGTAGAAAGACATACACACACACACACACACACACACACACATATACTTTTTTTGCATATGGATATCTGGTGGTTCTAGTACTATTTGTTCAAAAGACCGTCTTTCTTGAATTTGCACCTTTCTTGAAAATGTGTTGTCCATTTATGTGTGGGTCAGTTTCTGGACTCCATTCTATGTTATTGATCTAGTCGTCTGTCCTTATGCCAATACCACATGGTCTTGATTATTATAGTTTTATTATAAGGTTTGAAATCAGTGTTAGTCTTCCAGCTTTGTTCTTCTTTTTCAAAGTATTTTTAACCTCAGTATGAATTCAGTCAACAAATAATAACCAAGCTGGATAAAGCCGGAAGATTGGCAAAGATGCTGTTCTTCTGGTCAAGAGAGAGAAAAGAAACATTCGAATGAGTATCACAATTTCGGGGAGTAAAAACTGCCGCGAGGAATAAAAAACAAATGGGGATAATGTGGTTAGTTTGATGCGTTTCAGAATGATCTTTCTGAGGCAGTGATCATTTGAGTTGACTCCTGCATGACCAATACTATTCTCAATTTTGTTTTTGCTTAATTTAAATCAAAATAATTCTTTGTGGTGTGTCTAGGATTTAGATTTTGTATACATTCAGTTAAATGTAAGTATATTCAGTTTCCTGATAAGTCTCAACATCACAGCTAGGGAAATGAAGGCAGTGAATAATGAAATGACTCCCTTCCCCCCCATAATTCAGCGGTCATAGTACCAAACTTAGCTTTTGAGGTTGCTTGTGGGCCCAGTTTCTGCCTTATTCAGCTGACAAAACTGTCTGTATTCCCCAAGCCCTCTTTCAGCATACGGCACATCCTTTACATTTGCTTTTGCTTTTCTGAAAGATAATGTACGATGACTTGAGCCGAGAGGAGCAGAAAATGTAGCTCATTCTCAGACTCCAGGCTTTTGGTTTATCTGTCGCAGGTCAAGTACATTTTGTCTCAGGCTCTCCCTGGTGGCCATGTTTGTTTATCTCCTGTGGGAGTAAATAAACTTGCCTTGCTGAAAAATGACAGTTCTGTGCCTTTCCAATGGTGACTGGGATGTCTTTATTAATGCTGTGTCCCTGTGTCGGCTCAGAGTTTTGACCAGAGCTGCTCAAACGCAGGGGCCACCGCTAAGATTACTTACCCTTCTTGCACATGGTCAGCGTGGAGACTGTTGGCGAGTCACACAAAATCCTGAAAAAGCAGAGCCAGTTCATGTTTATGATTGTTGCTAGTGGGCCTTGGTGTACGCTGTCAGGCAGCTAGAGAACAATAGGATACTGTGCTTATTCCTCTTTCCCTTTAGGACTGAGGCAGCCCTTGCCATCCAGTGCTGGCGTTTCTAAGGGAAGGCAAATCCTGCCTTACCTTTAAGGAGAGGCAGATCCTGATGCCCTGGAGGAGTTGTGTGCTGCAGCCAAGGCTTTGAGACCCTGATCTGGGTTCTGATGCCCTAAATTGCAGCTCAGTTCACGACTGAGTTTTGGAGGGTTGTGTGCATTTTGTAAACCTGTGTGTGCTGCGGTCCTTGACAGCATTGAAACGGGGATAGTACTGTTCATGTTTGCAAGGAGCATCAAATTCAGAGAGGGAGACAGACTTGTGTGCCGGCATCAAATGAGTTTAATAAAGCTAGTACCGAACTGAGATAGAAATTAATCAGTACAGATATTCTGTTTAGAATACATATGTACTTGTTTGCTGAGATTTACACACACACACACACACACACACACACCCCCCAGGGATCTGTCTATACAACACACACACATATATACATATACAGACATATAATATATTTATTGTAAAGATAACGTATTCTAGATTTAAGTCTTTATCATCCCACTGAACCATTCTTTTGAAACGCTGATCCACTCACTCAAGAACTGTTGGGGGACTGCCATGTGCTAGGCGCTGTGCTAGGCCCTAGGTGGGTGTTTGGGCATTGGGAAACAGCAGGTGTGCAAGCGTTGAGGTGGGGAAGTTCTTGGAGCACTTGAAGAGCAAAAGGGAGACTGGG